CCTGAGTTGTATTTCTAGAGCAGACTAGAAGTGTTTACAATACATGTCTGAAAGTGTCAACAAAATAATACTGGTTTTTCAAATTTTATAAAAAAAATATCCTGTCTCCAACAAAGCCCAATGAACTAATAGGTTTAAAATGACTTTTATGAAAAGAAAGTTGAAGTTCTGGATAAAAGAGAAGCTTAGATAGAATGCCATTGCAATATTACACAACAAGCTTCAAGCAATAACAGTTTTCCTTCCTCTCCTCATTTATGTGTCCTTGAAACTGCTTTAGAGGGTCCCCAGATCCCCTGGAGCAGATTGGAAGGGAAACTCATCTGCTGGCACAGTTCAGTTTGCTGGCAGAATGATACCATTGGATACAATTCAAGGTTCTCCCCAGGTCTATATTTGCACTGTAACAAAAATAAATGTTTATTACCAGTATCAATCCATAGAGAAGCTTAGACAATTAGGGATCAGGAAGAGACTATTCAGTTCAATATATCTATCATTTTTATTTACTTCAAACAGAAAGAAATTCTTTTCTCCAGAAACAAATGTTTCAACCCACTTAAGCAAATAAGCATAAATCACTGACTACAATTTTGAAAGGTATATTTGGAAGGGGGGAAAAAACCTAAATTCTATACATTTCATGCATCACCGGTGGTTTTAGAAGTATTTTGCCAGGTCCTCCCACCTCTACCCATCGTGCAGTCATGCGAGGCCCTCTCTTATATTCTGTATATTATGAAGGCAAATGGGACTTTTTAGTAATGACAACAGTCAATTTAGAGGAAAAAATGGACTTGACAGAAATGAGAAATATCACAGAGAATGTAAAACAACTGCAGGAAAAGAAAGGATGATTCCCATATGATAAACTATAAAACAGATTACTCTCCAAACAAAATGAACAGAGTTTGAATATAGGAAGTCCTCATTGAATTACCATTCATTCAGCAACCATTCAAACTTATAACAATGAATGAGGGAAACTTATAACAGATTCTCATAGTTGTGGCCATCTCGGAGTTTGCGCTTGGCAATCAGCTCACAATTATGACATTGCAGCATTCCATGGTCACATCTTCACCATTCTGTGACCTTCACTGCAACAAGTAAAATCGAAGGATCAGCCTGTAGAAGGTTCAACGATCACATGACTTCTGTAACCACATAGGAGTCACCTAACAACGACAATTAGGACTGCTGCAACTGCTGTGATCAATTAATAAAGTAATAAGTCATGTGATGTTGCACCTTATGACTGTATTACTTAGTGACAGAGTTGCCATCCCCAATCACCATTGTTAAGTAAGGACTACTTGTATAGGAAGATGTAAAATCCATTTAGAACAGAGTAAGAATTTTGTTCAGAATACCACAATTTATGTGAAGTTACACTAATGGAAAGCATTAAAAAATTACCCTTAGTAGTATTATAAAGTAAAGAGGCTGTATACAAGAGGAGAAATAGCTGGTAATCACATTTAAGGCCCTTCATGGTGGGTGGGTGGGTGGATGGATGGATGGACGGACGGACGGATGGACAGACAGACATAGACCAGTGGTTCTCAACCTTTTTAATGCCGCGACCCCCCAACCGGTCGTAAGTCGAGGACTACTCAACCAGTCGTAAGTCGAGAACTATTCAACTGGTGCAGCACCGTTTGCAGAATGGGACTTTTGGCGGGCTCAGCAGGGCAGAGACAGCCTGGACAATTCCTATTGGCTTTTGAAAGCCAATAGAATTAGACTCTATTCAAGAGAGTCTATTCTATTGGCTTTCAAAAGCCAATAGAATAAAAGCGAGTAGCACAGCTAAGGAAAAGGGGGAAAAAAATGGCGGACTGCGTTGTTTGGCGATCCCCGTGAAATGGTCGTTCGACCCCAAATGGGGTCCCGACCCACAGGTTGAGAACCACTGACATAGAGCATGGCTGCTGCAAAAATGAGAATGAGAGAAAAATATGACACACTGGATATATAATACACATAAACCAATAGTATTTGTTGAAGTGATGAAATGAAAATAATTATGGTTGAGAAAAATAAAGCACACAAAAGAAAACTATTAAAAGGAGGTACAAAAATTTATTTTATTATTATAAAATTATAATATAATATAATAAATTATTGTTTTATTTGATTGTATAATGTGTATACAGGGAAAATAATAGTTGAAAAGAACATAATCAAAAAGAATAAGGAACAGTTAAAATTAAAAATCAATCCTGACTATCCTTTGGAAAGACAGATACTGAAGCTCAAGCTCAAATCCTTTGGCCACCAAATGAGAAGAGAGGACTCACTGGAAAGGTTGTGAAAGACTGAAGGCAAAAGGAGAAGGGGATGGCAGAGGTTGAACTGGTTAGATAGTGTCGTCAACACAATGAACATGAATTTGGGCAACTCTGCGAGACAGTGGAGGAAAGAGGGGCCTGACGTGCTATGGCCCATGGGGCACAAAGAGGTGTACATGACTTAGCGACTGAACAACAAGAAAATAAAATTTTAAAAGGCTAAGAATATGCAGAATTATTTTACGTCTTGTATTGAAATAATATCTGATAAAACTAGTTTTCTAGTTTAAATAATGAGAATAGGCCAAATAGCCAGACAATACTAACCTGTATTTCCAGGTAAAGACATTTCATTAATATAAAGATATAAAATTTTATGCAGTATACCACACATGTATTTCATTCATCTTTTGAAATTTTCTAAGATATATGTAACCTTTTTTAAACATGTGCTATTACTTATACTTAAACAAGTTTTAATTTCTAATTCTCTCATATGAAATCATACGTAAGTACAAAGTGAATATTATGAAAAATAATATACCTATTACACAGAGAGGGAGAGAACAGAATGGGAACTCACAGTCACCATATGTATATGGCCCTCTATCACAGTAATACACATATGATGCTACTAGATCTAAACATAAATTCTCAGAGGTTTCACACATGTAACTTATGCAGAGAAAGATAGCTGGAATTCACATCTACTTTTTCATGCAAACTCTAACATACGTTATCTTATCTCTGACCTAGTAAACAATCTGCACAATTCTATTATATTATTAAAACTAATTACATACCAGCCAGGTAACAGTAAGGTCTGGAGCTCTTCTGGATATTACTGGTTATTGCACACAAAGAAATATTGATGCAAACTAATGCAAGTCTACTTTACATATATTATATAAACAGGTTTATATAACTATAACTATTTATGAACCAAAGCAATTTTCATAAGAAGATTTCTTTACTGGATCTGAAAATGAGCACATAAATTGGAAATAATCTTCTACCCAATATTTAGGTCCATGATATTGAAGGTAATATATAATACCATTTTTGAACTTCATTAGGAATTTTTTTAAAAAATTAATTGTTATAAATAGCAGTGTGCTAATTAAATAGCAGCCTAAGAAAAATAAAAGTTAATCAAAAGTCATGTAGTCTAAGAGAATAAGAACAAGAAATTAAAATGGGACTACTATGCACAATGACTTGTCCCAGTGATTTTTGTCTGATTTAAGTAGAGTTAGTTTTCTTTGACTTAATTTAAATGAGAATCCATATTATTACATTGGAGAGGCAATGAGCAAAACAATCAAAGGAAGCCATGCCACAAAATGGTCCAATGAACTTGAAGCAGATGGTCAGTGTACAAAAACATCTACCATATCCAAAAGATATCAATGGTCTGTTTGAAATAAAGATTTTCAATTAATAAAACCACAAAAGAAAATAAAACAAAGTCACAAACTTTATCAACAATTTCTAACTCTATAATTCCTTACAACCTCTATTAGAAACACAGAGGTGGAAAAGTGAACAGTTTGCAAAACATGAAGCAATCAGTAAGAAACTATTATTACTAATAACAGTGATTTGAATAAAAATGTAATCCCTATGAAACTAGTTCCAATACTTTTTAGTAGTTCTTTTCAATAGCAGTCCCTCTTAAGCATGATTAGGTGCTCTTGAAACTGAACAGAAGTTTAACACTTTTCCAAAATTTGGTGTCTTTTTACCTAAACTGGACTAAAATTTACAGACTTTTTTTATACAATCAAATATTTTTAAGCCCTTATTCTACTGTTACAGATTCCACACTTTGGGAGCTGCATTATACTACAACCATAGTAGATGACTATTTTGCAGAAATATTTCATGGTAATTTTATCACCCAAGCATACTTATGCTACCTTTTCGATGATACAAATCTGTGATTATATGTGATTCATCTGATTTCAATCTCTGCGTAGTTACTACTTTAGAAACACAAACCTGCACAGGAAATAACAGACAGAGAGGGATGTTTCTCTCTTTTGACAGAACAAACCACAGAAACAAATTCAAATAACAATTACAATCTTCTCTTTCAGCCTTTTTCTCTGCAAAATAAAACAGATAAGGAAGAGAACCAGGAGAGATCGCAGGGCACTCCCTACACACCGCCGGTAACTTTACAAACACAATCCCAACGCCTATTGAAAAGTAACGTCAGATTATGCATAAAAAGAGAGAGGGTCACCAATCTATGTGATTTTAAAATATTATAAGCCTTCCGGAGCTCTCCCAAAACCAAACACGTACTCCGTGACCATACAAATAAGGTTTTGGATCTTGCAATAAAGTGCAGCTATTATGCAGATAGGGGTTAACTTCTGTGAAGGTAACAGCGAGCAGACGGGAAATGGAAGAACATGGCCCCTATGCGCTACATGGCAAGGACTCCTTCCATGCTAAAAAGGGAGTATCTGATAGCAGACATGCGATCATCCTTACAATCCAGCGCAAAGCTTCATGCAAACCCCGTTACTCAGTAGACAATGGCAGCATATTCCGAGAAGAGGAAGTGCTCGGACAATAACTGCATCTAGCGGCTTGTAGCCAAACGACCATCACCACTAAGCTATCCATCATTGAAGACTTGCTGCCCGCCTCCCGCTCGGTGATGTACCCACTCGGCTCTGCAGGCGCGTTTCTTACCTCGCTCCGCCTGGACCCGCTGGCAAAGGACTAAAAGCACGCCAAGGAGCATGACAGCCTTAAAGAGGGATCCTCTGGCGGCCGGGGAGGGCTCGGTGCTTCTCCGCTCAGGGCATGGCGGGGGTGGCGGCAGCGGCGAGAGCATCAGGAGACTACAGCCAGCGCTGGCCGCCCAAGCCCTCGAGATGCCTGCTGCAAGGACTCCCTGCAGGCATTCAGGAGGCTCACACTTCGGGGCAGCGCCTACTGCCAGCGCCACCGCATCGTCCCCGAGAGCCATTGGTGGGCCGGCTCGGCTTGCACATTCCCGTCGAGGGTCCGGCGCCTGCCCGTTCTCCTGTCACGGCGCGCGGGTTCCCATAGCCGCGCGCCTCCGCCAGGCCAGACAGGGCAAGGCAGGAGCAAGCGGCGAGGGGTCGCTGCCTTACAGCAGCAGCAGGTGTAGAGAGGCTGCTGCCAGAGCCTCCCGGTGCAGTCGACCGTTGCCAAGCCCTTCCCGCCTAACTCTGGGCGCGGGAGGGACGCCTCAGGCTGGTAACAAATGCCGAGCGGACGGGAGTTGTGATAGTGGCGCTAAAACGGCGCTTCATCGACAAAAGACTCACGTAGCAACCCTCCGCCCCTCCTTTGCTCCGGAGTCGCAAGAGATGGCGGCGCTCCCAAGCCGAGGGGGACCTCTTCTGGGCTCTCGAGGCCTCACTGGGGAGAACTTTCGGGAGCGGGTACCTCGGCGCGATCCCAGAGGCCTATTCGATCCGGGGGGGGGGGGCTGGCGCGTCCCTGATTCCTCACTCGCGAGCCGCGAATTCGTAAAAGCAAGCTGGGCATGCTAAAGCCCTTCATGCTAAAGCCGCCTTCTCCCATTGGTTAGGGTTGTCATTCGTCGCTCCAACTTTTAAAAATGAGTATTGTGCCGTGTGGCCTATTGGAGTTCATACAGGTCTCAGAAAATGCATCCTTCACAGAAGCCATATTTATATACATAACTGATCGTGCTGTTGCTTTTCGGATCAAGCAATGTTACGCAAAGGAGTAACACATAGTAACCCAAAGAAATGAAAACATAAGATGACAAACCATCTCCGTATACTTTTACTGGTCCATCGCTACTGTAATAAAACCACATTAATTTAGGATTAATCAGCATTTGCACATCTTAAAGTCTCTCCATCTTGTTTCCCCATTTTTGAAAATAGTCTACCAAGGTACATAAATTCACAAGTGTATAACTTGCAAGTGTTCATTCCATATGCAACTCCTACAAAATCTAATATTTGCCACAGATGATTTGAATTCTTAATCAACATCTTAGATCTTAACAACGTCTGTATATAGAATTATATATGCATCTACATCCCCAACCCCCAGGCATGTAATATCCACACAAGTATTCAACAAATACATCAAACTGCTAAACTGCTAGATATCATATAGCTTATTGAAGTATTTGCTAACTGTTTTGATTATTCTAATGCTTAAATTCCATTATCTATTTAAAATGTTCTCGTATTCAATTTCTATCATATACTTTTTTTCACAGCAACCAACCTTCATATTTGCATAAATTTAATTTAATCTTACACTTTTTCTAATTCAACAAATACATAGTACATTTTCTATCAAACATTCATACTTATTTTTTCAATGACCTGTTGAAAAGTAAAACCTGATCTATAAATTCTTTCCCATCATTGAACGTCCCAATTTTTTTCTTACTGTCACTTATTTGTACCCTTTCAGTCAGAGACATGTTCCCAGAAGCATTCATCAAACTTTCCTGATTTTTGTGTTCGTTCTAATTGTCAGATGCATTTGCAAACTTCACATATAAACAAGTTACATAATTACTTCACAAGCAAGCCATGTCCATATCTTTATGTATGTCCAGTTAAATCAACTGTGCCCGCAATCTTCATTTTTAAAAATTCCCGTGGTGTTCATGATTTCCTTTTCATTATTACTTTCAGTTTTATTCTTCAAATGATTGTCATTCAAATGATTGTCAAACTTCAAAAATATTTTCAGCACTGCTTCATTTCAATTTCATCCCAAATTTCATCATGCTTATTTTTAATAATCCTTACTCTGCTGGAAGCTCCTTGTTTAGCCCTCTTCCCCAACTACAAGATGAATGTTTATTTACATGAAAAATCCCAGCTCTTTTTCTCGGCCTTTTTAAAACTTCACCAAGTAATTTTATCTTTTACTAGATTCCTTGCAATTGTTTTTTTCTCTACATACACAGTATATAATATATTGCTCTCATTCTCATTTTTCAATATTTTAGCTTTTTTATATCCACTATTTGTCTCATAATTCTACTAAGCATCCCTTTTCAGACTTACACTTAGGATGACAAGCAAAGATTATTATATAGATATTCTATAAATGCATATTTTCTATAGTGAGTGGGTTGACTACTGCTTTCAAGTGATATACAGGAAAGGGTGTAGGGAATTCCACTAATTACACCTGTTCATTATGAAGTTTTTCGTATAGCATGGATGAGACAAGGCTAATGAGGAGGCAGAAGTATAGGAAAATAGTGGGAGTGAAGTGTGGCTTGTTGGTTTGTTGGGTGATATGGGATGGGGTGATTGCCAAATGTTTAATCAAAGCCCTCCTAACCTGGTTCGAGCTTATCTGTGTCTCGATGGATTATCTTGGTTGGGGAGTGGGAGGAAATTAGATGTGAGAGGGAAGACCACCTACAGGGAAGGCAGCCTCCGTGTGTAGGACCAATACTGTGTTCCAGCCTCTTGTACTAAGCTCCAGCTCCAGCACCTGGTCTCTGGCTCCTCGTAGCTTCAGACTCTGGTTGCTGTTTCTTAATACTAGACTGACATGTATAAAATTTATTTCATTCACAACATAATCATGAATGAGAGGACTGATCTGATTTGCATCACTGAAACTTGGTAGACATGGAGGGAGATGGTGTTTCCTGGGTTTCAGGTATATAGCACTAGCCACAATTCCAGGTGAGGGATGGGGAGTGGCCATTGACATCCAAGAATATGTGGTGGTCTTAGAAGATTAGGTGTTCATGGCCATTGTGATAACCATGGAATGGTCCAACTTGTTAAGGATCCAATTCACAGATCACACATTAGATTTGGTTCTGGTCTTGGGGCTGTGGTATGATGATCTGGGATTGGGTGATATTAATATTAATCCTTTTAACATGGAGAGATCCTGGTCTTTTGATCCTGGAGTTCTCTATGGCTGCCCCCCCCCATTGCAGGGAGGTGTGACCTATTTAATTGTCCCACTCCACGTGACTAATAGACCTAGTCCAGTTTCAGAGAGAACTTGTCTTTTTCTTGAAGCTCTACCACATGGGTATCAAACTCAATTGCATCAGGTGACATATCGTGCCGTGAGACTTTTTTGCCTTGTGGAGCCGGGATGAGCGTGGCCTGCCGGTTTGATACCCCTGCTCTAGTGCATTCAACATGTCTGAGGCCATGGCTGCAGCTTGGAATGAGCATGCGATAGGGCCTTGAACCAGATTGTGCCTCTATGGAATTCTGTGTTCGTGAATCTTATAGAGTTTACCTAGCAGCTTCAAGAGATGAAGCAAGAGATGCCTAGAGCACCACTGAGTATATGTGAAGGACGACGTAATTTGGGTATCAGTAGATCTTTATTAGTACTTACTCTATGTTAAGAGCAGCAAAGCAAGCTTACATCTTCACTGTTACTGTATCTGCAGACAACTGGCCAGCAGCACTGTTTCAATTAACCAGGTCCCTTCTGGGTAAGAGAGTCACTTTGAAGAACTGCTATGTGGAATATTCTTGGCATCTATCAAATGAAGTGGCTTGACTTCACTTGGAATTAGATTCAAGCTGGGCAAGTTCTTTGGAAGTGCCTGAGAATGTCTGAGATCTGGAAAGAGTTTAAATTAGTCACTCCTGAGGATCATTGGTGTGAGTTAGCCACCTATGTTCTGGACTGATATCCCTCCTGGTTAGACTCCTGGGAGTTAACATTTGATTGGCTCCAAGTGATGATTAATGCCTCATTGTGGAAGAGGATAATGCGACTTGCCTTGAAGAATATAACTATACATCTCAAGAGACTGTCCTTGGATCAGACAGTGTTTGATAACTTTTTTCCAGTTTTCAATCTGTTTCTAGAGAAGTTATTCTTCAGAAGGTCCCAAGAAGAAGCAGATTCTCTGGACTCTTTCCAGTCAGGGTTCAGGTCAGGTTCCAGTACTGAGAAAGTGTGATCACACGGGGATAGGCTCTGGATGGCTTGGGATGGCGGGTGGGGCAACCCATCTGGACCTCCTGGACCTCTTGGCAGCATTCAGTACCATGAACCATAATTCCTTTCTGGACTGGTTTTGGAGGTTGAGAATGTGGGGCACTGTTTTGCAGTGATTTTACTCTTCCTCTACACCTCAGCAATATTGAGATGGAAAAAGTCTATTGCCTCTTGCCACTCCTCTTTAATTTATAGAAGAAATCGCTAGGTAAGGTCATTTACTGGCACAGGGTGCATTATCACCTGTATCTTGATGATAACCCTGTCTTGTATTTCTTCCCCTGGTTGGGCAGGCAGTGCCATTCAGCCAGCTCTGAATCAACCGTAGTAAGACACAGTAGCTTTGGGGTTTCGCCAAAGATCTGGCAATGTGTTGTATTTTACCTTCAATGAGGTAATAGTTCCCTGGACAGAGCTGGCAAACAACTTGGGGGTTCCTCCTAGACTTGGGAGTCCTGCCTTTTGGAACAACCTTCCATGCTTTAGACGTGGGTTTTTAAAAATGAAACGTATGTATTAGGAAAAGGAGAAGAACCTGGAAAATTATTGAATTCTCCTTTGTAAACTTTGCAGTGAGGTAAAAATCATAGATCCAATTTAATGGTTAAGAGCACCGCAAATAATATCACCCAGAAGAGAATGTTTTTTGAGGGATGAAAATATCCTTAAATGCGGGAAAGAAGTAATGTAAAAATAAATTTTGCAACAACATTGATATTTTGAAAGCAGTACATAGCTTTCACATAAATATTTTAAACAAATTAAGGTAGCAGATAAAATTATTCAGTATCTCCTTATTAAAGTTATGTCATTTTTACGGTAATACTTTTAATTTTTCTCATTTTAAATAATACCATTATTTAGCTGTCAACCTCACAGTGAATCCAGTTTGAGGGATATTATTTAGCACCTTGCCATCTTGGCCAGTTCTTGGTTCTAACTGTAGTCAGAATTTGGTTGTATTTTCAGCAATGAAGGCATATTTATGTCTTCTTGAGTAGAATGTTTAAACTTGATTTTTCCTTTAAAGAAAAATACGAACATGGGCCAATTCTTATTTTAAGATGGCTGATAATATTTTGTGGAGTGAGGATATCTGCTCATAATGGAATCATTATGCTTAATCAACTATTAGGTAGTGATACATTTAAAATATTTCAGCTTTTTTTTTAGAATACAATTTCCTAGAAAGACTAGATGAAAATACAAGTAAAACCCTTGGCATGTACATTGCTTTATGTAATAGTGCTCTTGCTGCCTCTGAAACTCTGAAAAGCCTGAAGACCTTAAGTAAACTGACAATATACTATTATAAAAAATTATAAATTTGAATATACAAGAAATTTGGAGTACAGAATTAGTGCATCCTATATTTAGCAATGTTTCCAGGTTTTGAAGAATGTCATCT